TTAGGCGATTCTAAATGGCAGGCACTTTGTGGATTGTAATCAAGCGCGGGTAGTCCACTGTTTCACAGTTTTTAGCGGGGTACCACTAAAGTTACCAGTATTACTTTTATATATCCATCCCTCACACATACGTTTGTTTGTGTAAGCTCAGACTTACGTTCTTTAGTTATCTAATACTGTTCTTAGTAATATTCAGCTTACAGGCAGAATCGATAGTAAAATTATTGGGAGTCTTTTAAGATCGTGAATAAACGGAAAGGTCCTTGGTAACTAATTCGAAAATGCGAGCTGCGTTTAAGATCGGCACGGGTATTACATATCCTGAAAAGTGACATTGGATTGGTTTTTTGCGATATTATGTAGGTTTTTCTACTAGCTGTTAACTTAGCACTAGATGATGGACATATTGTGAACTCGTTTTGTAGTTGTACGTGATGCCTAAACGTGATGAGGCTTCAGTTATTAATGTTTGGCTTTGATGTGATGTAAAATCTGCTTCAGAGACGCTAGGTTGTACACAATAATAACTAGGAGGAAACGACAACGCGTAGTGAGGATGTGTGTGCTAATAATGTGTTGATGTTAATCCATATTCTTGTCTCAAATACATTTACTTGAGATTCAAAGCTAGAAATCAGTTGCGCATCCACCTTTTCTTATCCATTCTGGAAATGACATACGCGAATTTGCTAACTTCAAAATGAGAGAGGTAAGAAATAATTATATCCACTGTACACAGTCGAATTCAAAGTCATTTGCATGCTAACAGTAATTACACACAGTACGGGCGCGGTGGTAGTAGTTTGCCGAAATTCTCCTCAAAGTTTTTGAAATACAAAAATAACGAAAAAATTCGTAATTTACAACTTTATATCTAACCTGTCTTCAGAAAAGACAACATGTAAATAACTCATCGGACACAGCTAATAGACATACATCATTGGCAGTATATTCAGTAATGATTTACTCACCCAGTAAATGTTACTGTTTTTATACACATGCAGACGAATAAACGTAATCATCCAGATGCGATCTTGCGAACTAACTTTCTTCTCATCGATGAAAGCTACATACTACTCGGCTTCACAATACATATGCAACCGACAATGTGTGTAGTTGAGCCATTCCTCCATAGATGGACGCTCACAACGATCCTGGTGAGCAAACGTGGAATGACTGCTTGCACCCTAAAAGCTACCTAGTCCGCAAGATGACATTTTATATTTTTTACATATCACTCCGCACATGGCTCAGTTAGTCGATTTGTTTACTTATTTCGTATGGAATTATTGACGAAATTGCCAAAAGCATTGAATCTATATCTACGTACTATCTAAATTTAAACTGTCTTGACAAAAAAGACTCAAGACATGTCTAACTAACATTCCTTGTCAGAATGTTACTGCTTTCATTTGGCCCAACCTCAGTTAAGATGCCTGTACGCTGCATGTTTAATCATTGCAGAAACTTTGAGCGACTAATGGATGTGAGGACACGATGTTAGTTTGAAAATTAAGCGCCGTCGCATGAAGTAAATATTACATCGTCCTTTGTCTTTGAAATTAAGACCCCTTCCAGATTTAGAGATTCAATTTGTACGTTACGTAGTAATTCGAGGTATTCCAAGGAGATCCGAGGAAATTCAAGAATATGTGAAGGTTTGCAATAGGATGCTTTGCCCCAGTAGGAGGGAATCCGAGGTAATCCAAGGAGATGTCCGACGTTCTGAGGCAATTCAGGAAAATTCAAGAAGATCCGAAGGTATGCAAGATGATCTTCTATCCCAGTGGGAGCAGATCCGAGATAATTCAAGGAGATATCCGAGTTTCCGAAGCAATTCAAGAAGATCCGAGGTAATCCAAGGAGGTCCAGGACAGTTCAAGAAGATCCGAAGGTAAGAAGAGGATCTTATATCCCAGAGGGAGGAGATCCGAGGCAATTCAGGGAGATATCCGAGGTTCGGAGCCAATATCAGAGGATCCGAGGTAATCCAAAGAGGTCCGAGAAAATTCAAGAAGCTTCGTGGGGCATCCAAGAGGTTGGACTATTCCGGTAGGAGGAGGTCCGAGGCGATCCAAGGAAATATCCGAGAGGTTTCGAGACAATTCAAGGTGATCCGAGGAAACCGAGGATTCGAGCTTCTGAGGCAAGATCCAAGGTAATCTAAGGAGGTACAGGAAAATTCAAGAAGATCCGAGGGTAATCCAAGGAGGCCCAGGAAAACTCAACAAGATACGAGAGTAAGGAAGAGGATTTTCTATCCCAGTGGTAGAAGGTCCGATCCAATTCAAGGCCATATCCGAGGTTCCGACGCAATACAAGAAGATCCGAGGTAATCCAAGGAGGCCCAGGAAAACTCAACAAGATACGAGAGTAAGGAAGACGATTTTCTATCCCAGAGGGAGGAGATCCGGGGCAATTCAGGGAGTTATCCTAGGTTTGGAGCCAGGTCAAGAAGATTCGAGGTCCAGGAGAATTCAGGAAGATCCGAGGGTAAGAAAGAGGATCTTCTATCCCAGTGAAAGGCAGTTCAAGGTAATTCGAGATATTCCAAGGAGATCCGAGAACATTCAAGAATATCCGAAGGTATGCAGTAGGATGTTCTGTCCCAGTAGGGGGGAATCCGAGGCAATCCAAGGAAATGTCCGACGTTCTGAGGCAATTCAGGAAAATTCAAGAAGTTCCGAAGGTATGCAAGAGGATCTTCTATCCCAGTGGGAGGAGATGCGAGGTAATTCAAGGAGATATCCGAGTTTCCGAAGCAATTCAAGAAGATCCGAGGTAATCAAACGAGAGGTCCAGGAAAATTCAAGAAGATCCGGGAATATGCAACAGGATCTTATATCCCACTGGGAGGAGATCCGAGGTAATTCAAGGAAATATCCGAGGTTCGGAGCCATGTCAAGAAGATTCGAGGGAATCCCAAGTGGTCCAGGAGAATGCAAGAAGATCCGAGGGTAAGAAAGAGGATCTTCTAACCCAGAGGGAGGAAATCCGAGGCAATTCAAGGAGATATCCGAGGTTTCGAAGAAATTCGAAAGAATACGAGGCATTCCAATAACGTGCAAAAAGATCAAGAAGATCCGAGGGTGTCCAAGCTAAGTGGCAGGAGGTCCGAGACAGTGCGGGAGATATTGAAGATTCCGAAGCAGTTCAAGCATATCCGAGGTAATCCAACGAAGATTCGAAGATTATCTAGGGGCTTTTCTATCCTAGCGGGAGGAGATCATAGACAATCCAAGGAGATATATTTGAAGTGTCGAGGCAATTGAAAGTATTCCGAGGTTACGATGTAATGAATGGAGATTCAAAGTAACCCAAGGACATGGGAGAAAATTCTAAGTTCTAAGGGCATCCAATGTGATTTTCTATTCTAGTGGAATGAGATCCAAGATTATCCAAAGATATATCCGAAGTTACGAGGCACAGGTGGTACATTCCTATCACTACTGTAGCCTAGAGTTGCTCATCTTACCAAAATTTTAGTAAATCTTACGATTCTGTCAGGTGGTTATAAAACATTGACCAAATCCATGGAATTCGGAAGGGGTCCAAGGATTTCCGAAGAAAACCCAAGAATTATGAGAGAGGGTTCAAGGCTCCTTGAGGAGATAAAGAAAAGTGTTAGTGTTTAGCCCTTCGGAAAACAATCTTGGAGCTGTATATAAATGATGCGTTTAACGCGAATATTTTCAAAAGGCTCCACCATGCTATAAATAATATGCAACGTAGTAACAAAAGTGCCTTCTTCAAATAGAGTGGACACTAATCGGTGCCCTAAACCACTCAAATCCATTTACTAAGTACCCCGCTCCGCTAAGTATCTCTACCGCAATGAAACCCAATGCACCGGTTCGCATTCGCAGTAATAACCTCGGTAATACCGGTAATAAACTTCAATTTATTCCGCTCCCCTTTTATCTCTCAATTTCCTTCCGCTGCTGATGTTCCATGGTTGGATGTCTTCTGTTTACTCATCTTGGAACAATGAATGTCAGCGGATTAAACCCTTTTTTCCCTCGTAAAATGAACCGACCACGGAACTGCCGATAGACACGATATGGTCCAGTCATTTTAGAGTTGATTCTGAACTTAAAATTACCGAGAATATGGTTTTGCAAGAACATGTCAAAGCTTGAGTTATCCGTTTGGAGCTACAAAACGTTTCCTCTTACCATATAACCTCCTTACTGTTGATGTATGTAGATATACAATAGGAATATCAGTCATAAACTGATCTGACAGATGTTCTTAAAAAACCGTGTAGGGTATTGTCGGGAACAGTGGCTCACTTTTTTTTCAGTTGACTCTAATATTCTCGAGTCTTCACCAATGGCTTGAAACTCGCCAATGTGGGCAGGAGGTTATGAAATTTTTATCCTGTGCCATCGAAATGTCCACAAAGGGTGCCAAAAAACAACCAATAATGATTTTGTAAAAAATTAGAAATGAGCCACTGTGCACAGGTAGGGTGCTACAGTGACACACCCCAGTGGTCCACAGTGGTTCTAACAGTACACAGAGACTCAAGACAAACCGAGTTAATCAAAAGTACGGGAATGCTGTTGAAATCTTTATTTCTGAGTCACATTTGAATATCTCGGAAAAAACACTGATCAAAATAAACTTATTCCCATTACTATATTAAAAAACAAAATGAGCGCATCGTAGCTGTTAACATTGAAATAATCAAAATCACACATACATCAGACTCCTATTTGCCTTACAAAACACTGAAGAACTTCTACTTTAATAAGTCTCATCGTAAGCATAAATAATAACAATAATAATAATCAGCAAGCAAATAAAATTAAGTCTTCTACTTAACTTACAAATGTACACATTACTTTGTAAGTATTCTTTTGTACTTATAATGTTAAAAAAAACTTTTATTACAATCAGAGACAAAAACCAATCTTACTCCTTAAGCTCATCGAATGATGAAAGTTTGTAGAACAAGTCAAAAATAAAAATTAATAACTCCATAACCCTTATACCTCTTAGCATATCCGAAGTTGGGATAAATCTAGTCCAAAATTATAGTACGGCCTAGAAGAAGTGCCAACAATTGAAGGCTTTGGCAGAAGTAATTTCAAATCACTTTCTTTTATAACAGAAAGGTCAGGCTTATCAGGCATGTGAAATTTGCTAGTACCAGGCGTACGCCTCAGAAATGATATGTAGAATTCATTATTCTCATTTCTACCTTCTATCACCTTTCCAACGTAAAGCGATGTAAGTTTTTTTGTTGTAAATTGTACAATCACATATTCGCCCTCTAGTGGCGCACGAGTTAGAGATTTGGTTAGGTGCCTTTCAGTTATAATCACTGATTCTTCGTCAGAGTTTTCGTCTTCATCTTCTGCTGCCCAGTCTGTATCATCATCAGATTCAGCATATTCCACTGTTTCCTTCTCTTGATCATTATCTTCTTCATCACTTTGTAATACTTTTCGAGTGACTTTTCCCTTCTTATTAGTGTTTTTACTTTTAGCAGCTATTTTTTCTTGTTCTAGACGAACTTTTTCCGGTGTGTCAGTAAGAATCATGCTACGGCCTGGTTTCCTTCGCTTGCGGGTAGTTGTTCTAGGTCCAGCCTTTATTGGGTCTCTAAACTCAAACGGAGATGTAAAAGTATTCTCAGCTGATTGAGAAATGGATGGTGTCAAAGCAACGTCTTGTGTCGGGGTAATTATATATGGCTTGGGTGGAAGTTTGTTCGAAGAAATTGCTGATATGAGCACTTCAGGAGCTAATATTTTTAATGACTGGAGTCCTGATGGAACTGAAACGGTATTGGATACTTTTGTTTTTGTCAAAATTGAATCTTCATCGGACAGGTTCTTCGTTTCCACTTCTTTAGAAATGGATTGATGGTTGATAGACACAACAGTGGTTTCAATTTGACTTGGTTGTGTCGTCGAAGTACCCAACGTTGGTGAGCATGGTTTTTCTGATGTTGCACAAGTCTGTGAAATAGAATGCTCCGATGAGTGCGCAGTAGTGGTCTCTTCCGGTGCTCCCAACTCGATGACATTCATTGAATTGATGTTTACGTTTATGAGCCCTTCTTCACGTGGCAAACAGTCTGAACAGGGACCTGGACGATCTGTTACTGTACTTGGCAGAAAGTCCTCGTCTGTAAAAAGGTTTCTGTCGAATGGGTAAATACCACATTTTGCAAAAGCCCTGGTAATGTTTGTTGGGGTCATTGCTTTAAGAAGTCATATATGGTAACAGGCTTTCCAGGATGTGTCATAAGCCAGGAATCGATGCCAGCATTATAATATACTTTGAACGCGCTAAATACTCCCACGTCAAGTGGTTGTAATTTCCCCGAAGTGTGGGGATGAATAGTGAGGAGATTGACTCCACAATCTTTTGCCAACTGTATGGCTTCAATGCTCAAATGTGACTCGTGGTTATCCATTACCAACATACTAGGATTTTCTTTGCAAGAGTTCGTATGCTTGATAAAATGTTTCATTACTTCTGTGAAACTATCCGCGTTCATCCATCCACTAGGCGTTGCTAAGCCGAGTGTTCCTGCAGGTGTGTTTTTGATCATATGATCTTTGAATTTTTTCCTAGGAAATATCATAACTGGTGGCAAAGCGTTGCCGCTGGCACTTACAATGCAGCATGTGGTTACCAAAGTTCCTCTCTCACCACTTGTGACTTTTCCAATGCATTTTCTGCCTAATGGTGCTATTACTTTTTGAGGCTTTTGCACTGTTGTCGTTGATGTTTCATCCAGATTAAATATACGGGTACCATTTGCAAAAGCCGAGTTTCTCTTGATCAGATCTTCTAAATTATTGTAAAAATTATTGACGTTGTTTCGGTTGAAGGCTGTAGCTCTTGCTAGGCTACAAGGTTCTGGTCTCCTGGAAGAAAACCTGTTCCTACGTTTGAACAAAGTTAACCAGTCCTTACCCGCCATTTCATTGTCTGTCCAAGATTTAGGCATCTTTATATTATTTAGCTTAGCACATTGATACGCCACTTGACGACATTCTCTTGCAGTTAATCCGTAAAACAGAAGAGCGCAATGCGAAAAATATTCCTTCAACTTCTCTTCTTGGGATGCGGTAAAGATCTGGTTCACAGAATAATTCGGCTCGAATCGCTCCTCATCGAGATTTTCGGAACCAGCAGTTTTCCAATAATACCTCTTCAGGGTAGTAAATGGCACACACCACAACTCGTAGCTGCTTTTCTGATAGACATACCCTGCCTTATTAATAGTACCCCAGCTTTAACGTCTGCAGCGGAGCTGTTGCCAATTTTTCTCATTGCCCGTTTCTTGCGAGGCATTCTGAAACAAATATTCAAGTAAGCGGTACACAATGGTTCACTAATAGTACACAGTGGCTCGTGAACCACTGTGTACTTCCACGTGCTGAGCCACTGTCGACCGTGACGCCATTTTGAAATATATGTCTTCTGTGCCATATTCACGTTGCACTGGCTGTTCTAAGCAAAGTTAAAATTATCTTGCTTCTACTTACTTTACTACAAAATATAATAAATAATAAACTACAGCAATTAAGCTAGAATTTTAAAGTCAAACTTACCTGGAAATGTAATTTTGGGTACCTGAAAACCAACACAAAGGCGAGACGCGTGCTATCAGTGCTTTAGTTGCTGACCGACTGGTTCATGCGCATTTGTGTCGTAAACACTTGATGTAGATGACTGCGACAGATAGATAGTCTCTCTCGTTTTGGAGATATTGAATGGAGCCACTGTACCCGACTGAGCCACTGTTCCCGACAATACCCTACGTTATTTTTTTGTAGGCAGTATTTCAATACAGGTTTATCTAAGGCCCGTATCGTCAGTCGTCCCTACAATTGTAGGGCGCCTTTATGGCCTCCTTGATTGTCATAGTTTTATACTTCTCCATGTCAGAACTCTATTTTGAGGTTATGTCACAAACATCTATTTACATCAAATTGTGCTTACTTTTGAGTTATATCATGTTTTATCAGCCCGAAATTTCCTACAATTTAAAAAGAACACATATCTTCACAGTAGGAGAGCGCTGACGCTGACAAGGGACAAGTGTAATCTAGACATTTTTGAAGGCGAGAAAGGAGTATGACAATCAAGGAGGCCATAAACGCGCCCTACAATTGTAGGGACGACTGACGATACGGGCCTAAGTAAAGGGGTTAACATGGTGATATGTGCCTCCAGGTTCTACATACATAATTCAGCTTCGGTATTCTACTACTCACATATCTGAAATGCTGTCACCCAGAAAGCTGCGATTAGATGTATCATGCGGTAAAGGAGATACACGCCTGCGGCGGTTTCCTCCCCAAAAAACTAATGAGCAATTTAGTTACTAAGCTAAGAAAAAATAAAAAAGTGCCATCACCTATTTCTTGACAAAATCTCTATTCATTTTTCCTGGCATTAGAGCCAGTTATAGTAAATCTAATCCTAAATAAGGCAGCGAAAAAGGTCGCAGCTTTGAAAAAAGTATGAAATCCTATGTTACTGAGGGGTATATATACATAGTATCCCAACGAAATTAGCGACTTCAAAAACTACAGGATACTCTGATAACCAAGATTTGGTATATTTTACATATACTTCTCACTGAAACGTGATAATTTGGGTGAATGGTCACTTAGTAAGAAATTGATGTGGTGTCCCATCAAGCAGATATAACTTTGAAAGCGATGAATCTCATCAAATATGTGTCACCAAGAAATAACATATATAGGGTTGAGTAGGACACTAGGGGTCGAGATTGGTCCATTTGGGGGTAAAATCAGCTAACTATGTTGGTAGAAATTGAAGAAGTACATTTCTGGTTTCTTGCCCTAAGATGATTTGGAAACTCAATTATGACACAAGGAAATTGATGCAAGATGCTAAACAGATTATGAAAACGCAATGAATAATATGCTTGGCAAAATCCATGAACTGCGTTTCAGTAGTAGTAGTAGACATTTAATTACTTCATTATATAAGATGGATGGATCAGTCGTATGCTGGAATGTGTTCCACAATCAAAATAAAAAAATTGAAAGAAATTTAAAGAAAAACTTATATTAAAGAGGTGCATGTAGAGGATGATAATTTTTAAGGAATATTTGATGGGAATTCAACAATGTGTTGTCTCCCTATTGCGCGTATCCATTCTGATAATTTCTTTTCAAAAGTATGTATATTTCGAAATTGTTTTAAGTCTTTGGGTATGTGTTCAGATAATTTTGGAGCAAAATGGAGAAAAGACCGCTTCGTTATTGTTTTGTGAGGCTTAGGGACAGTTTTTTATATAAAGTAACATTTTCTGTATTTTCATTACTTCTTTCCTGAGAATCTTTGTGCCCGTAAGTAACAAGATGTGCCTTCCACCAAGATATCGGTGCAGATACCAAGAAATGTGGCATGCGCACATCATTGCAGACTTCTGTTGGATATTGAAGGAAGACCAAGTAGGATTTGTTTTTTTTTGTTAGAACTATTGTATAAAGTACATATCATTGATCAAATAAATACCAATGTAGCAAAAATGCAAGTCTGTCTTTTAGTTTCACATACACAGGTATCTGAAAAATTCGTAATCATAGGGAAGAGGAAAAGAAAGTTAAATATCCCATGTCTGTGAGGTCATCAATGTATAACACAGGTAATACTGGAGATAAGACTCATCCCTGAGAAACATTGAGGTTTCTTTTTCCAAACTCCATTGAAACATTGCAGAGCGTTAGCAAACATTTTGTAAAAACGTCCATGAGCTACAGCAACGACGAAACAGATACATCCTTTGGTTGCCCTGGATTTCCTTAAATTACCTTGGACTTCTTTAAATATCATCGGATTTCATCCTATTGTGATAGGAAATATTGAATTGCTACATTTTATCTTCAATCCGGATAGGCAATCTTCTTGGATACTCCGGAATACCCTCTGAATGTAGTATCTGCTTGAATTGCCTCGAATTTTCTTCCAAAGGCCCCCATGACCTCATCCTGATGTGAGTAATTACTACATCCAGTAAAATCACTTCAATCTCAAGGCCTTCTAAGTCCTCTCTTGACGTTGAGGTGCTATCAAGTTTTATCAGTTGCTCTAATTACAAGGCAAGTTTTATTTCAGCAAAGAGCGTTAAGCTTTACCTCTGCAGCTTATTTTCCGAGAAGCTTAGAATATATTTGTTAGAGAATGTCGGATTGTCTAATCTCTGTGTCGTGTGAATTCTCTTCAGCTATCTTAATTAAAGTTTTCCTCCGTCCTTGCAATGCGGAATCTCCTCTCTATTCAATGGACTTTGTTTTCCCGGAAGAAAAATCCGTTTAATTAACGGAAAACGCTGTGTGTATTTTTGTGAAGAGGTTGCGTTATTAGCTTTGTTCGTAATGTTGAGGAGGATTATATTTCCGAGAATCTGTGTGCGGATATGTTGGATCGACAAACACGATGTTACTAAATATTTGATAAGAATTGAGTCTATATACTCGTATTTAATTAAGCCTGTATTGCCCAAAAATTCCTACTAATATTAGATCCCTACTTGATATTGTTAATGAGAAATTACTAGGTATCTTAACTAATATTCTTTAAAACAAAGAAATAAATACTCGTAGTGTGGTCATAAATATACAGTTATTTATTACTCGAAAAGTCATTCCTTCATCTTGTCCTTTAGTCTGAAATCAAGAATTAAAAAGATAAAATTTTGAATATCTTAATATTGGTGTGAATTTAATATTAGTTGAATATTTGATAATAAGAATTGAATTTATATATTCAAAGCTCTATTGCTTCTAATATTAGATTCCTACTTGATATTATAAATGAGAAAGTTTGTCACGCCAAAATGGCTGAACGAATTTGAACGAAATTTGGTACAGATATTGTTGTGTCTGGATTAGCACATAGACTAGCTTTTTTCCAAAAAAATTGCATTGAAGTATCTATTTCACGAGATATAGCCCAAGCGGCCTAATAGAATTTGGGGCGCGGAAGCGCTCAGTCGCTGGCGCGACTGGAATAAGTAAGGGTATATAAATAAGGCGTTTGTATTTTTGAAAGTAGGCGTAACAAGCTTATAGGTCTGAGATGTTCAAGATCAGTAATTTTGAGATTTTATGGGCATGTATAATCGAGTTCCGGGTTCAGTGCTTAGGGTGGTATCCTTTTTCTGAACAAAAATTCATTGTGGCTTTGATCCTAGTGATAGCAGTATCAATTCCTTAGAGATTTGGAGGTCACACTTGAGGCCATCGACAAATCATCTCTTACGTCACAACGAATGATGTTGGACCAGGTCTATGAGAGTCAGTATCCAAATCAGGCGTCACGTGGTGTCTAGGTTGACCTAGCTTATAAACAAACCCTATTTGAAAAGCCGAGATTGGCAATTTCCTAGGGAAATAACTTAGTTATCGATTTGATACGAGCATCTTCAAGATCTTATTGATACTCCGCGAGTGTACTCAGAACGCCGCCGTCGTCCTCGATGTTTCTTTCCATCATACCTACATATTATCTCTGTTTATACAGGGTGTAAACGTTATCATAATCATTATTTAAATGGGTGATAGAGGGGGTTAAAGGAAGCAAAAATTTCATATAACCTGGGGGTCAAAACGGCATTTTTTTTAGAGAAAAGCGACTTCAAAGTAAAATAAAATCCGCAATGCCAGACGAAAATTACGACGGAACGCAGTGTAAATAAAGATGTAGTTTGGTATTTTTGGCTCTTAAGTATTATTTCATTATTTGATAATGTACTCGTAAAATGCAAACAGTTTAAAAAAACGGACTTACCACTAACTGTCTCAGTGCTTCACCTGGTGTGTGAGTTTACTGAACGCATTAAAAAATCCACTTATAAATAGGGAACACAATTTTGATACATACATTGTTTTTCTTTTTAAAACCCACAACTGCACTTTTTTGTATTTAAAGAAGGTGTTCAAAATGTCGTCCTCCACTTTCGACACAAGCTTCATTACGCCGAACCCAGTTTCTTCTTACTCTAGGTCCTCGAAGTTGTCCAATTATTATTTCAGCCGCATTAATTTTTTTTTCGCGAAGTTGTGTTTCAGTTGTTATTGGACCAGCCCCATAAACCATCCCTTTAAGTTC